CAGCAGCAGCAGCAGCAGCCTTTCTCACTCCGTGCGGAGTATAACCCATCAACAAAAGCTCTCGTGGAATAGGGAACCACCACCACTACCACCACCATCATCATCATCATCAGCATCATCATCATCATCATCATCTTCATCATCAGCAGCAGCATCGTTAACATCATCGTTATCAGCAGCAGCAGCCGTTCTTACTCCGTGCTGAGTATAACCCATCAACAAAAGCTCAGGTGGACTTCTGTCTTAGGTTGTTGTTTCCGTCTCTGTGCAGGTGTATAACTTCTTCTTTTGTTCTGAATCTAATAAACCCTCTTCCAAGCATGCCTACATGTACTTTTAAGCCTTACCCTCTTTCTCCTTCCCTGTGGATTTCATCTTTGGAGGGTAGTGTTTGTTTTCGGTCTATCTCAACGAGTGCTCAGTCCATCCCAATTCTATTTTTCGGATTTCTATTGTATTATATCTATATTCTGTTGAATCGTTTTCTTCCACATTGTTGTTAATTTTTTATTTTTAAAAAACATTGTCAGGCCAATGAATCTTTATGGTTTTTCTTAAGCAACTGTTGATAACTGCCTCGAGATTTTTAGAAGTTTGTTTTGTAAGTTTCTACGTTTCCGAGTCATAAAGTAGTACACTTTTGACACTAGTGTTGAAAATTTTTGTTTTTGTTCTTTTTCCCATGAGTTCTGATTTCCTTCCTCACGTTCCTAAGCTGTTATTTTAATAATCTTTTGCCTTTCCTATTCGTGTCTTTGCATCTGCGTCTGTTCCTTCAAGCTCGTCTATGATGCTCCTTACGTAATCAAAGGAGCCATTCAACTTCCTCTAGCGTTGTCCTGCCAATGGTAATCTGAACATCGATGGTGGTACTTGAATACCTACTTGAATGTTGAACTGGGGTCTTAGGAAGACGGGGTGCTCCAATGCTTCCTCGCCCCTCTTCATGAGGGTGCATTTAAGTGTAGGCAGGCTGATTGTCTCCATCATCAGCTATCCTAAGAAGTGTTGATCCCAAGTACATCTAGGGCTTACATGGGTCTTGGTATTGTCAGGATGTACGTTAAAGTCTGTCAACTTCATTACATTTACAAGGTATCTCGTTTTCTCCTTCATCTGTTGGTGACTGGGTGAAAGTAAAGCAATATTACCTGCATCGTCCATGTCTTCGAGTCGGGTCCTTTAAGTCCATTAAATTTCTGTCTTTCTTAGATTTTCTGAGTTTGTTTTCATAATCCAGTTGATGGTAAGTAGAAACAAGAAAGGTGAAAGTTATATACAGCCTGGTTCCACTATTATGTGTATCTGGAAGTGAATGGGGGTGTTTGTAAGGTATGATATAATATCGTATGTGCGCTCACACACATAAGCATGCGTGTTTGTGTGTGTGTGTGT